GATGATCTTTCTATGAGTGCTGACGAGTCGATCGTCACTATTCACGTTAAGATGCCCGCGTAGATGGGCGTTGTTGTCGTACTGCGTCATTATGTTCGGTTTTATTTTGTTTTCGGGACCCAGAGAGTAGAGGCTGTGTGCGCTTTTTTAAAGAATTGTGTTAGGTATTTTTGGATCGATTCGGATATCTTTTTTTTACCTTTTTTTTGAGAAAAGCAGGCTGCTTGATGCTGTGCACTGCCTCGGGTGTTGTTGTATATATTACTCTGTGCCATTGCAGCATATATTCTTTATGATTTGTGTTGAACTTTATTATTTGGAAAAACTATGGTATCATCTGTGGTAAGTTGCTGCAAGTACAATTTCATGCACGCAGCCTGCCGGTGATGGTGCCAGAGTGTCGGATTGCCCCTCGTGTGGGAGCCGAACTGTAATTGTTAGCGTGGGGTGTCTGCTGCGCAACCGACACAGACCCTCCATGCGTGGTTATTGGAAAACGTTTTTGTGTTTCGTACTTGGGTCATAATTTACCTGGCGTGGTGTTCACTGTGCAAGTGCCACTGTGGCCCAGCCAAGTTGTTCCTTGTTCTCCTTTTGTCTCCTGAGTCCTTCTTTCCCTTTTGTTGAGGTGCCTGCGTGAGTGGCGTTGGTGGTGTAGGATGCCGCGTTGAGGCGCTTACCCGTACCCGCACGGTGGCGGTGTAGTGTGGCGGCACGCCCCCGCCCCCGCACGCGTCTGCGCTGCCGACATGCACGACCGCAGACGAATGGTGGCCGTGACGTGGGACTTGTTGTGCGGCATGACTGCGCTGCCCTGAGCCTGCGGGTGTGACGCACTGCGGAGCTCTGCCGTGACTGGTGGTGCTGGCACCGCGGCGACGTGGCGGTGGGCGCGCGGCCGCAGCGGAGCGGTGCATAGTGTGCGTTGCGCGCACTGCGATGCTGACGGCTCAGGTGCCAGTCCTCCACCCCAGCAGGGCGGCAGCATGAACCCAACTGCTGTGTGCCCCACTGAAGGGGCTCGCTGCGTGGCCTTCCACTCGATCCGTCTTTTGCTGCTGCTGCGTGCGTTGTGTGGGCTGCCACCAGTCGCACTTGCACCGCTCTCCCTCCCTCTTTGTCTCTCCTGATGTATTTTATTGTAGCGGATACAATCGCCAGAAGGTACTCTGAACGCCACGAAGCCGCTGCTTCGACCGGTGACTATGGGGCGGCGAGCACTGCGCCCTGGTGGGCTGGACTGCTGCCTGCACGTATGCGTTGGGCTGGTGGTCTCTGTGCTTCTGGTGGCTGCTCCACGAGGTGCGGTGGGCCAAGATGGTGGTGGGAATCGCACTGTTAAATTGCTGGTATTTGACGCGACGGACACCTTGATGACTCCGCACATCAGGCTGGCAGCTGGTGCGGGCTTCGAAGCGGCGCTATGGGTTCACAATTTTACCGCGCCTGGCGGCACAAAGATAAATATCACTCGGAAGTTGGTGGAACTGGATAAAATACGCGGTGAAGTTGTTAATGATTTAAATACTGATCCTGAAATACTCCTACTTCTCGGCCCTAAAGAAGAACAGCCCCTGCTTCGCGCCTTGCCGGCACTGGGTCCGCAGAATTGCGTGTCATTTGCACCCATCGCAGGCTCCAGCGAAGTCCGTGGGTGGAATCCGAATCTGTTCTTTCTTCGCCCCGAGCCTTTCGCTGAGCTGGTTGCGCTCATCCGCTACGCTGTGACCCGGTTGCGTGTGCTGCGACTGGGCTTCATGTACCTGCAGGGTGTGCTGTACGGCGAGATTGAATACTTTTTTGCTGAAGAGGAATTGTATTATCTAGGCTACACGTTTAGTGGCGTGTTCACTCTGAAGAGCTCCTTCAACGCCTCCGCTGCTGACGATGTGTTTAACGCCGAGTGGGAGCGGTTCGCCGAGACCCGTCCTCAGGCTGTGATTGTTGTGGCTCCACAACTGAACGACACCATCAAATTTATCCAAAAAATGTTGAAAGACCCACGCACTTCACGGGCTTTCCTTCTTGGCCCGTTCGCTGTGCAAGATACCCTATTGACCACTTGGCAGGAGGCGGAGAAGAATGGTGTTAAGTATATGCCTGGCCAACTTGTCACCGCAGGTGCCCATCCCCCCGCCAACAACGGCCAATACCTCGCCGTCAAGCGGTTTCAGAAGGAGATGAAGGATTTTTTGACGAACAGAGTGCCGAAGCTTTACGAGGACAATGAGCATTTCCTCAAGAATGACAACGATGGAGAAATGATGATTGCGGGGTGGATAGTTGGCAATGTTCTTTTTCAAACACTGAGCAATCCTGAGTTGCTGAAAAGCAGGAAGAGCTACACAGAATCTCTTTTCAACCAACGGCGCTTTGTTGTTGACGACCTTGTGTTCGGCGACTTCGGTGGTGAGTGCGCCGGTATTGCTGCTTCACAGGGTGCCATGTGCAAGTGCAATCAGGGCGGTCGAACGGTGTTCATTAAGCATTTTGTCGAAAACTTTCGTATGGAAGAATTGACCGTGGCAAGGCTGGTTACCCCGCTACAGAAATGCTACGTTTCACAGCTACGACTCATGCCGCCTTTTAACGGCGTTGTCATACGAATTACTGATGACCCTAGTGTAGTGCCGATACTTCAGAAAATGGCGGTTGGCTTTTATGCAGCGGTGGGTGCCGACGCCGATCGTGCTGACATAAGCGACCTTACATTTCAATTCATTGCCACTACCACCACTGGCGCGCGCACAGCACTGCTAGCCGAAATGCAGCAAAAGAACATTCACGGGGTTGCTGGAATTACTACGGACGATATACTGGATACGCCCAACCTTGTATTCATCGATGTTGTCCATCTAAAGCCGCGGCTCAACAAACGAAGGAGGCACGATATCCGCCTGTCACCGACGCTGGAGCAGGAGTTCTTTGTGCTTGCGCAGTACCTTGCCAACACTACTGTCGCCAACGCCCACGCTGTGATCCGCAGCGACGAGGCGGCCGCGATGCAGGATGTGCTACGGCGTTCGCTTGTGACGTTTGGCGGGTCGCTGAAGTCGTCCGCGCTTCTGGGTGGCGGTGACGCCCTGGGGGACTACCTGCCGCGGAAGGGAGTTGTGTTCGTCGTGGGCCTTGCTGCTGCCGATGTCGCTTTGATCGCGGGTCACCTGGCGAAGCACAGCGGTGCGCGTGTGTTTGTGCTGTTCACGGAGTTCTCGTTGCTGTACGGTGAGTTTGTTGCTGCGTTCAATGGGAGTGCGGCTGCTGAGCGCCTTGTGTT